TTTGGTAATTTGTGGTTATTACAAAAGCATTGAATTAAATTTCATGGTTCCAGGACATACCAAATTCAAATGTGATGATAATTTTGGCATGATTAAAAAACTCTATAGAAAAACAAGAGTAGATTGTCTGGGTCATGTGGTTGAAGTGATAAAAATTCTACGTGGGGAGTTCAAAAAGTTTTGACACTGTGCAATTATCTTGATGATCCTCAAATGTTTCCCATTTTGAGAATATTCATTTTATAGCTTGGGTAACATCCAATAAGTAATAGAAAATTGGCACAACTTGATTTGACAATTGTGAAGAAATAATTTTTTCAATATTGCCTATTAACAATAATGGAAAATACTACATGTGAAAACCAATGATACTACATCTGGGTATGCTGGAAGAATGGTAAAGATGCTACTGATATTCATAGGGAGTTGGTCACTGCTGAAGGGGACAAGGCACTATCCAAACGTACAATTTACTGCTGGATTGAGGAATTTGAAGCTGGACAATTAAGCATTGAAGATGCCCCTCGTTCTGGACATCCCCGTGATGCTGTCACACCTTCAAATAGTGATGGGCATAAAAATTATTTTGAAAAACATATCCACCGATTTGCGCAACCTAATGGGGTACAAAATTTTGAAACAACAAAAATTTAGGTTTCCTGTCGATCGTCACCAAATGTAAAATTATTATTAATAATTAACGCAAAAGTTCACAGTAGGCAAGAGAAGTGAATGATAAAAATTATTAAAAATATCTTTTTACATTTTGGGAAAAGATCCTATAAATTTTAATTAAGACTCTAACCTATTTTATTCTATAATGAACTTTTATTAATTAAATTAATGAGTTAAGGCATTCACATGCAGTCCTGTTGAAAAAAAAAACCATATGCAAATAAGTAAATATTTTAGAAAAACCTTGAAAGATGGTGGAAAGGGGAGAAAAAAGGCTGTAATTGAGATTTTAGAACATGAGAATCGCCTCCTATATTATAATTATAACAATATACCAACAATTAGTAAAAATATTAGAAAAATTAAAATAAATTAAAATAAACATAATAAACATAGAAATTGGTTATATAAATATCTTTTATATTAAGTATAATTATTATTATAATTATTAATGTTTTTAATTTATTAAATATAAATAATAAATATAATTATAAATAAATAAAAAAAAAATTTTAATGACTTCCTTTATATGTTGAAAAACTAATAATTATATTTGAAGAAGAGATACTACTATAGTTGGCTCGGTCTAGAGACCTCCTATTGCTGCGCCATGCGGCCAATTTTCAAAAATAGCAATTACGTGATTCGTTCAAAAATGCAATAAAAATTTTTTAAAAGTTTTTCAAAAATGATCTTCACGTGATTTTTATGTAATTAAATTTAAAAAATTTATTTAATATATTATTACTACTCTTCCATTGCAACATTTTCAGGAAGGCACCTGTGAGATTTGTATTTCTTTACAGCAAACAAGGCACGGGCACCAGTCAATCCTTTACAGTAAGCATCAATAAATCTCCAAGAATATCTTGCATATTTACGTATTTGCTCCAATGATACAGAGTCAAGTGCCTCTGGAACTATCTTTTCCAATCCTTTAATTGCTAATTCATCTATCAATCGGAGCAAATGATCTACATTTAATAGTAAATTGTGGGGTTAATAAAACATATAAAATTAAATATTTTCATAAATCTCAGTTTCCTTACCAATCAAACTGTAATGTCTTCACAAAAACATAAACTTCAACTTATTGCTGCTGGTAAACTTGTTCCGACACTTCATTATGGCTCATTTGCTGCAAACTGGTGGATTTTCAATAATCAAAAAATGCCTGAGGGAGAAAAACAAACATGCGTTCCTATATGTTTAAATATGAGAGTTCAATTGACATTATTTATTATTCGTATTGTTAGTAGAAATAATAACACTAGGCCAGGCTATATTTGTGAGTCTGATACTACAGGAGAGGTATATCCAAGTGCTTCGGAAGCTATCAATGAAACATATAAAAAACTTTTTAATACTAAAACAAGATATTCAGGTCCTTCACTTATAGGGTTTGATAATGAAGCTATAACTGCAGAATTATTATCAGGCGTTCAGTTTCATCCTTTTAAAATTACAATTGATAAATTGTCAGTTTTAATCATAGACTTGGGTGACTCGAATGACAATTTTGATAATATTGTAGGATCTGGATATCAATCTAGTTTTATGCATAAATATCAAGGTAATCAATGTCTTTACGTTCAAAAAAAAATAGCTACTAATAATTATCAAATTGAGGTTTTTCATAAGGAAGAGAAAATTGCAAATTATAATGACATTTCACCAACTGTGGTTTGGGATAAAACTAAAATATTGAAAAATTTTAATGGGAATACATTATTTGGAATTGATCATACTATTACAATTGATGCATTCAAAAAATATTCTGTATTACCAATATGTAATATCACAGGGTGGAATGATATTGATATAATGACTCAAGCTTTTGAACAATGTTTAAAACGATCAATTGCAGTTGTTGGAGTTAATTGGTATCAGTTTTTTGTAAATTGGAAAGAGCAACCATCAACTATTATAGAATTTACTGCACATCTTAAAAACACATATCCAGCAGATTATGTTTTTACAGATCGTGAATTTGGGGCTTGGAGGGCAATGATGAAAAAAGTTGGATGCACAAAAATATCACCATATAAAAGAAAAGAATCAAAGGTAAATTTTTTTAGTTATATTGTTATGCATTCAGAAATTTCATCAAAGAAATTTTTTTTCTTTTTTTAGCTGGAATTTTGGACATGTTCAATAGATTATTCTAGTGATCATGCAACTCTTGAATATTTATATACTATGAATCTGCTGAATGCTGGTCCTTCTAAATTACAAGAAACAAAAACACAAATTGAAGACAAAGAATTGCAAAAAACTGTTGATTGTTTTTGGAAAAGCTTTGATGAAGCAATGCAGGTTAACAAACATGGATTAGATGGAAAGCAACGTATATTATCTATTATTACAAAAAATTTTGGGCATAGAGAGATTCAAAATAACTTGCAGGTAACATTTAAATGTAATGAATGATTGTGTCATTGTTAAAAATATCAAATAATTATCTTTTAGGTTTCAAATGATTTGGTATCTGCTGCCAAGAGATATAGCCATGTAAATGGACCTGGATGTCCACCAAAAAATAAGCCAGTTGTAAAAAGAAATTATATATCTGAAATAAAAAATAAAGAATTTGAATCTTTTTTTTCTGATAAAAATAATGTTACTATGAGTTCATATCGTGTTGATCCAAACACCAATTTACCATTATTATATTTGAAAGATAATAAGCAAGCTCTTTGGCAAAAATTTAAAGCAACTTATCCTGATGGTATTAAAAGGACATCTTTCATGGCACGTTTGGCAAGTGGTCATTATGTATATAGAGAGGATTTAGGAGGATTGTGCAATATCTGTAATGAATATTGTTATGAAGTATTTAATAATTTAATTAATCTAATACAATTAAATGTAGAAAAGGGATTACAGGTATATAATTCAGAAAATAAAATATGTACAGTTAAACCTTGTTTCAATGAATCTATGGGAACACACAAGAAAATTGCATCTAAATCCATTATATGTGAAGCAAA